CATTCTCACGTGCACCAGCAACCTGGATCCAGGGCAGAGCAGCGAGGTGGATGGCAGCACGCGAGCTTGGATTGGACTCATATTCCTTGAATTGTCTAACTCCCCTATTTCCATCCCCACGCTCAGCTCGCAGCCATTCTCACATGCACCAGCAATCTCGATCCTGGGCAGAGCAGCGAGGTGGATGGCAGCATGGCAGCATGGCTTGCATTCGTACCCCTCAAATAACCACCCAACCACCCTCCTTCCCATCCACCCTTCACATCCACTCACAGCTCGCAGCCATTCTCACGTGCACCAACAACTTGGATCCAGGGCAGAGCAGCGAGGTGGATGCCAGCATGGCGGCGTTCCTGGCCGTTGGATCGAGGTGCCTCGGGCGAAACGTTTTCTACGAGATTTGTGAGTGGGGGTGCGCTTGGTCTGGTGCAGAGTGCGTGCATGTGCTTGTTGAAAGATGTGTGTGTAGTGGGGAACAGCACATGGCAGGGTATGTTGACGGGGAATTACAACGCATGCATTTGATAAGGGCAGTTTAGGAATAAACTAAAACTGCCCTTGGGGGAACAAGTGGAAGCATGTGAGTATAATACTCCCTACCCATTTTGACCCTCTTCTGTAGAGCCAGCGGCGCTGGGTTGTTTGGCCAAAACTTCTACATCTCAAAAGCGCCACGATGGAAAGAGCAGGTGGGGGGGTGGTAAACCTGACATGTTCGAAGTTGAAGGGTGTCAGCACCTCTCCGCCCTTCTTGCGTTTGAATTTCTTTTGGCGTTGCTCACTACGGAAGAGCTCTCTGAAAGAAGAGTGATTTTGAGACGTCTCAAAAACAACCCGGCATTGCTCACTACGGAAGCGCTCCCTATGATTCAACTTGTGAATGACGTCAGAGCTCTTCCCCTCAAGACGTCAGAGCTCTTCCCCTCAAGACGTCAGAGCTCTTCCCCTCAAGACGTCAGAGCTCTTCCCCTCAAGACGTCAGAGCTCTTCCCCTCAAGACGTCAGAGCTCTTCCCCTCAAGACGTCAGAGCTCTTCCCCTCAAGACGTCAGAGCTCTTCCCCTCAAGACGTCAGAGCTCTTCCCCTCAAGACGTCAGAGCTCAATCCTCAAGACGTCAGAGCTCAAGCCTCAAGACGTCAGAGCTCAAGCCTCAAGACGTCAGAGCTCAAGCCTCAAGACGTCAGAGCTCAAGCCTCAAGACGTCAGAGCTCAAGCCTCAAGACGTCAGAGCTCAAGCCTCAAGACGTCAGAGCTCAAGCCTCAAGACGTCAGAGCTCAAGCCTATACATTTTCCTTTCTACATTTGCCCCTCTCTTCCCCTCCCCCTCAGTGCGCGACAAGAAGTACAACCAGGCGTCGCTCACTACTGAGGAACTCCTTAGGGCGGATATAGTGCAGCATGCCATGGGACCCGGTGAGCAATTGGATGGGGCTGTGTTGTGGGTGCATGGCATTGCACAGCTGATGCTGTAGCAGCGTCCAGGTATGATGAGTCATTTTCTGAGTCAACTGGCGCAAGTTTGATTCTCGTGCGTGTCTGGGTGTGTGCGGCAAGAAGGGCGGATAGGTGCAGAGTGGTGCGATATCGAATGATGTGGCAAGCTGCTGCAGGATGAGAGTATTTTGAGACGTCTCAAAACACTTCTTCAATCACGTGGCTATTCTCATGTGGCACGCTGCTGCAGGATGAGAGTAGATGAGAGTAGATGAGAGTAGATGAGAGTAGATGAGAGTAGATGAGAGTAGATGAGAGTAGATGAGAGTAGATGAGAGTAGATGAGAGTATCCGGTCACACACGCATACACTTGCCTTGCTCGCATTCTCCCTTGTTTCACTGTCCGTATCTGTATGCATGCGCAGCTGTATGCAACAAAAGGGGCGCTGAGGTGCTGAACTGAACGTGGCGATAGCGAATGAAATGGCACGAGGTGACCTGGCGATGCAGGGAATTCCCAGCTGGTGAACAAGGAGGCAGAGAAATAAATTTTTGAAATGGCAGAGAAATTCCCTGTAATGGCACGAGGTGACCTGGTGCTATGATTCTCCCTTTTCGATTCTCTCGCTGAGCAGGTGTGCGCGGCAAGAAGGGTGGCGAGGTGCTGAATGTGGCGATATCGAATGTGGGAAGCTCGACATCGCAGCTGGTCAACAAGGACGCCAAATTTGAGGAGATTCTCAAGCAGTTCCTCTGTGAGTCCTATTATGTAAAAGCTGCTAGGGGCATGCGGCTAGAGTCACCCACACCCCCCATGCACGTCTCTGTCAGCTGGTGAACAAGGACGCCAAGTTCGAGGAGATTCTGAAGCAGTTCCTCTGTGAGTTGAGGGTGTGGGGGGGAGGGCAGTGGTGTTGGTCCATTGCGCTATTGGGAATGTGGGAAGCTGTGCGTCCCAGCTGGTGAACAAGGACGCCAAGTTCGAGGAGATTCTGAAGCAGTTTCTGTGTGAGTCATGGGGGAGGGCAGTGGTGTTGGTCCATTGTGGGGGAGGGCAGTGGTGTTGGTCAGCTGTGGTGATGCTGGGAATGCGGACTGCTTGCCTCGCAGCTGGAGAACAAGGACGCCAAATTTGAGGAGATTCTGAAACAGTTTCTCTGTGATTTATGCGTCTGCTACTCATCCTCTCCACATTCCACTCCCTTTTTCAATGCAATCACTCTGCATTACAACCCTACCTCTGCTTCCCTCACACCTACCCTCCACTTTCGCCCTCTATCTGGGTGTAATGAGTCGTGTTTTGAGTCCACTCAAAACACGAACCTTCTCTGCTTCCCTCACACCTACCCTCCACTTTCGCCCTCTATCTGCTGTGCATCCAACCCACTTAACGTGTGCATCCAACCCACTTAACGTGTGCATCCAACCCATCTACACCATTTTCTCCCATACCGCTAGTTTTCCGTCTGCTACGGTACTCTCTCATTCTCCCGCACACCTACAGCCACTAGCTCACTGCACCTCCTGGTCATCCTCTCTACTAGGAGGTGCAGTGAGCTCACCTCCATGACTCACTAATCCTTTTCCCGTTCACCATTCACCATTCACCCACTCACCTCTGTCTCCTCTTCTCCTCCACACCCACCTACAGCCGATCGCTTGCTGCACCTTCTGGTCATCCTCTCTACATACTACCCCCTTTCTTATTCACCACTCACACATTCACGTCACTCTCTTTCCCCCACACTCATGCCCACCATCAGCCACTCGCTCGCTGCACCTGCTGGTCATCCTCTCTACATACTACTCCGAAACCAGCAAACGCTTCAAGGTACACTACATTTTCTACATTGCCAATGTTATCTCTGTTTTCCTCGAACGCACCCTTGCTGATCCCCCAGCAGTCTTAACGCCTTCCCTGATCCCCCAGCAGTCTTAACGCCTTCCCTGATCCCCCAGCAGTCTTAACGCCTTCCCTGATCCCCCAGCAGTCTTAAAGCCTTCCCTGATCCCCTCTCTGTTCGCGCTGTTGCTGCCCTTGCTGCTGCTCCTCTTGCTGCTGCCCTCCCTGCTGCTGCCCCCACTGCTGCTGCTCGCCCCAATGCCCATCAATCGCAGAGGGAGCTGGTGCTGGCGACTCCTCTCACCTCGCTCTCCTCGGGCCTCTCCTTCTTCCTCCAGAAGGAATCGCACGACCTGCGCCTGCGACCAGTCACCATCCGAGGTGCGTACGGCCTTGACAGTCACAGTAACCAGTCATGCACGGAGCGCCTCTCCTGTTCTGGCATGGGTAAGGTACTTGGGTTGTAGCCTATCTCCTCGCTCTCCTCTCTCCGCGCTCTCCTCTCTCCTCGCTCTCCTCTCTCCTCCCTCTCCTCTCTCCTCCCTCTCCTCTCTCCTCCCTCTCCTCTCTCCTCCCTCTCCTCTCTCCTCCCTCTCCTCTCTCCTCCCTCTCCTCTCTCCTCTCCTCTCTCCTCCCTCTCCTCTCTCCTCCCTCTCCTCTCTCCTCCCTCTCCTCTCTCCTCCCTCTCCTCTCTCCTCCCTCTCCTCTCTCCTCGCTCTCCTCTCTCCTCGCTCTCCTCTCTCCTCCCTCTCCTCTCTCCTCCCTCTCCTCTCTCCTCGCTCTCCTCTCTCCTCCCTCTCCTCTCTCCTCCCTCTCCTCTCTCCTCCCTCTCCTCTCTCCTCCCTCTCCTCTCTCCTCCCTCTCCTCTCTCCTCGCTCTCCTCTCTCCTCCCTCTCCTCTCTCCTCCCTCTCCTCTCTCCTCCCTCTCCTCTCTCCTCCCTCTCCTCTCTCCTCGCTCTCCTCTCTCCTCCCTCTCCTCTCTCCTCCCTCTCCTCTCTCCTCCCTCTCCTCTCTCCTCCCTCTCTTCTCTCCTCCCTCTCCTCTCTCCTCCCTCTCCTCTCTCCTCCCTCTCCTCTCTCCTCGCTCTCCTCTCTCCTCGCTCTCCTCTCTCCTCCCTCTCCTCTCTCCTCCCTCTCCTCTCTCCTCCCTCTCCTCTCTCCTCCATCTCCTCTCTCCTCGCTCTCCTCTCTCCTCCCTCTCCTCTCTCCTCCCTCTCCTCTCTCCTCCCTCTCTTCTCTCCTCCCTCTCCTCTCTCCTCCCTCTCCTCTCTCCTCCCTCTCCTCTCTCCTCGCTCTCCTCTCTCCTCGCTCTCCTCTCTCCTCCCTCTCCTCTCTCCTCCCTCTCCTCTCTCCTCCCTCTCCTCTCTCCTCCATCTCCTCTCTCCTCGCTCTCCTCTCTCCTCCCTCTCCTCTCTCCTCCCTCTCCTCTCTCTTCCCTCTCCTCTCTCCTCCCTCTCCTCTCTCCTCCCTCTCCTCTCTCCTCGCTCTCCTCTCTCCTCGCTCTCCTCTCTCCTCCCTCTCCTCTCTCCTCCCTCTCCTCTCTCCTCCCTCTCCTCTCTCCTCGCTCTCCTCTCTCCTCGCTCTCCTCTCTCCTCCCTCTCCTCTCTCCTCCCTCTCCTCTCTCCTCGCTCTCCTCTCTCCTAAGTCTCCTCGGGCCTCTCCTTCTTCCTCCAGAAGGAAACGCACGACCTGCGCCTGGGACCAGTCACCATTCGAGGTGAGTGTGAGCACTGTATGAAGGTATGTAAGTTGCACTTACAGTGACCAGTCGAAGTATGTATGACTTGTACGGGCATAGGTTAAGGTACTCCTGTTAGTGCCCCTCCCCTCTCCTCAGGCCTCTCCTTCCTGCAAAGGGAGTCATTGTTTGACCAGTCAAGGTATGTAAAACCTTACGGGACACCTTACTCTTTACGGGAATGGTATGACCTGCTGCGCCTGCGACCACTCACCATTTGAGGTGAGTGGGAGCCCTCTATGAAGATATGTAAGTTGCACTTACCGTGACCAGTCAAGGTATGTATGACCTGTACGGGCATAGGTTAAGGTACTCCTGTTAGTGCCCCTCCCCTCGGGCCCCTCGGCTCTCCTCGTGCCTCTCCTGCCTGCAAAGGGAGTCAATGTTTTGGCCAGTCGAGGTATATATAACAACAGTGACCAGTCACCAGTCGAGGTATATATAACAACAGTGACCAGTCACCAGTCGAGGTATGTATAACAACAGTGACCAGTCACCGTTCCAGGTGACTCCCGCATTACGGGAGTTGCATAATCTACGCCTGCGACCAGTCATCATTCGAGGTAAGTGTGGGAGCCCTGTATGAAGGTATGCCAGTTGCACTTTCAGTGACCAGTCGAGGTATGTATAACAAACAGTGACCAGGCATTACGGGAGTCGCATAATCTACGCCTGCGACCAGTCACCATTCGAGGTGTATATGGCCTTGACACACACAATTCAAGGTGTGGCTTTGGAGTTACAATCATTGTTTGACCCAATGTTTGAAATATGCGCTATACAGTCACATCCGCGGTTCTAAGTACCACTCTTTAAAGTCACATCACTGTCCGAGATGTTTCCGCCCCAACACGGCCACACTTCCCCATCTCTGGCATCTCCTTTCAAGCTGTGATGTACAATCTCTTTTTGAAGAGCCCGTTACAATAGGCCGTTCCCGAACAATCCTATTTACTGACTTTCTGTTGGTCTCAGAGATGTGGGGCTTCATCCCAAATTAACACTTGAAGCCCCGACATAACACGTTTGGCCTGCCAACTCTCTTAACTCTGGAACCTAAAATCAGTTGTTCAACCCTTCCCCTTGGCCCTTTTTCCTCACAGGTATGCCCAATTGGCTCAAGGCGTTCACGCTTAGTAACCCGGTAACCACACGCACTGATGTGGAACACCTCCTTGTTGAGTATTTTGAGGACGGAAGGTGAATGCCAAGGTAAAGACGGTGATCCTATGGAGATAAGTCTTAGTAAGAAGCAGGGTTACGGGAAAGTATTTGTAGGTGATGATACCTTACGTTTATTGATTTTGTAATGGCATATCGTGGTATCGTATGATTAAACTGGTTGCAGTCTTTCCATTCACATGCTGGACTGGCTGTGGGATTTTATGGTACCTTGCCTGAGATTAGAGCACCATGAAGATTTCATTGGGAGCAGCACATAATCGTTCCAAAAAGATGACGAGTATGTTCCTAACACGAAGCAAACGAATTCTGCTTGCAGCGGGGATTAGCTCATTAAAAGTTTGTAGATTTCCCTGATGCGTCGCGAGCTGCTCGGTCGCCATCAGTCAGCCGGCGTTTTTGCAGGAGCAATGGCCAATCAGAATGGTTATTTGGGGCAGTCGTCGGTCTGTGCGGCCTGAGTTGCGTCAGGCGTTTCTGCACCAGATTAAGTAAAGGGGACCACGGTGCGCCGCTTTTGCGCTCAAAGCCTCAACATCGTCAGTCCACAGCATAACTCGCCAAATTTTGCAGGCAAAACGAGTTGAGATTTGCAGCAAATACCGCGCCGCGGGCCTTGTCCCAGTGTGCGACTCGGTTGCTGACGCGCAAACATCCCGCGGAGACCTCTGCCGCCGCCAAATCTCTGCAGCACTGTTCCCGCCTGCACTCCGATGGCCCTCTGCAAGTTTACCGCGCAAAGCCAGTCTTCCCCCCCCCCCCCCCCCCCCAACCCCCCAATCACGACAGTCATCCCTCTGGCGAAATGACGCGCACTGGCAAAAATCGAGTTTGTTTTCATTGGATCAGCCCAAATTACTCCGACCTCGCCACGTGGGCGTTTCCTTAAATTGGATAGACCCCGTTTGCGCGTGCCCCCCCCCCCCCCCCCCCCCCCCCAACCCGATTTTCCCGTCCTTCCTCTCCAAAATTCGGGCAGCTGTGTTGACTTTGCTTGGAATTACAAACTGTCGGAATAAAACTGTTTTTCGGTACTTTCAAAATATCGACATGTGAGGAAATAATGATTTATTTTTTAAAAAGTGATAATTTCTCTTGCGCGCTAGAGTAGCTTGCATGCGGATCGTTTGGTCGGCTCAAGGTTGGGTTTGGTATTCCGTGGTTTGGGCAGATGTGTCGATGAAGTTTAGTAAAATACGATACTATAACTGTGCATACAAGTCTCTAGAGATCGAGTGCTCTGGACACTGTTGCCGAAATGTTACCACGAAAATTTGAGGTGGCAAGCATGCAAACCTGACAATGTTGGCAAGGTGGAAATTGAGACTGTTTGTTATTCTTCGTAAAGTAAACACAGCTGCCCGAGCTTCGGAGGGGAACAGCGGGAAAATCGAGCAAGCAGGCGCGCGCAACGCGGTCCATCCAATTCAAAAAAACGCTAACGCGGCGAGATCGGAGTAATTTGGGCTGGTTAAAAAAAAAAACGTAATTTTTGCCAATGCGCGTCATTTCGCCCATCCCTCTCAACCATCCCATTCCTGCAAGACCCTTAAACCCACAAACCGGACCCAAACGTTCCCAAACATTCTCTCCTCCCGTGCTGCTCGTCCCCCACGAGCCCAACAAGCTGCTTCCGCGCAGCCACCGCATCGCCGCACACCCTACCGAACGGGGACTTCGCTTTTCCGGTCCATGCTTACAGAGGTAGGTTGAAGCAGAGCCTTGTGAAGGTTGAGCAAAGCACCTAGGTCTTCCCATAGGCCCACCCACCCACTGGACATGGAGAGAATGGGCTATCTATGAAAACCAAAGCAGAATCTTTCATCACTACCCTCCGTTGCTCCCAGCCTGCTGTTCTCAGTAAGCCGACCCTGTTACAGTGTTGCCTTTCTGACGCCCCTGATTTTACACGATTACCGCAACTACCGCCTGTCAGTTACGTGTACCTTGATAGAATACTTCCTAAGCTGTCCAGGCTTGTTAGGGTTGCCCAGTTCTTGCAACCGTCCGAGTATCAATAATTCATAGAAGCTCGTTCAGTGGAGCCGCAGCTATCCCTGCAACCAGCCTCGGTTACTTTTGTTTTTTCTCTTCAGTGGATTGGAGAAATAGAAAAACTCCAGACACAGACCACTCAACTCCTTGTTGACGAGATCCATACGTCGACTCTTGATACGCTGTTACAAAGAAACCCTTAGAGCGCTTGCTGTCAGAATGGCGATTTCGAGAGGGTTTCAAATATTTTTAGTACTCCTTACGGCTGCAACCGTTGTTTCTGGTAAGGCTGGCTGGAATTATCCGCCTCGCAGTAGTTTTAGCCGTTCCGCTGCTTTAACAGGATGACTCTTTAGGGTCTGATGGTGCCTAATATTCCCTTCTGCCTTCTTGAGATTTTTGAATTGAAGGCTATATGTATTTTCTATTGTTCAACTGTTATAACCGCGGAATGTCTGCCACGTTTCAGGAGCGAAGAAGCTAAAAGACGGCAGTCGCTGTTTGCTTTCGCCAACGCTAAAGCCCATCGTTGAGTGCGAAGGCGGTCCAGCCACGTGAGTCGCTAATGCCCTCCTTTATTCTTACTGTAGCCTCGTCAAGTTGCAACGAGGTAGCTTCTGAGCCGATTCAAAACTTCCCTTCTATGGTGGTGGCATGAACCAAATTCCCTTCTATGCGCCTCAAGAATCACAAATGGCCGCTTGTTCTAGCATGCACCGAGAGGTTACAGCCGCCTTCTGTTGCCGCCGCTTTCGTCTCCGTTAAACCCAGTTTTGTATGCAGTGGACTGTTTGCACCCTTTCATCCGCGTTTCGCGTGCGAACCTGCTAGGAAGCATTCAAACCTGCTAGTTGAGATCTACACGCAAACTATGCTAAAACATCACAGTCCCGCCTCGACCTATACAATCTCATAGTAGACTGGTTACAGTTATTAATTCGTTACAAAAGCGATCCGTCTTGTTTCTTAGCAGCGTCGAATGACTTTGGCATTGCGCATAGTCAGTTAGCCTGACTCGAGGGTATTTGAATCAGTTTCCGTTCAGCCAGGCTGACTTCGTTTCGCTTCCGATACTCCACATGCCACGTCTTCATGTGCGCATCTTCATCCCAAATAATATACAGGTGCCTTCTTATCCGATTCGTTATGCAAAGTTTGTTCGCACATTCCATTTGCTTATGCGTTCGCCTTTTCAGGTGTCTTGTATCGCGGACGCCGAAGCCTGGAAATCCGTACGGTCGCTACAAAGGAGTCTGCAACAGCACTTACGAAAGTAAGAAGAAGAGCGGGGGGGATGAGAAGGGGTAGAGGGAAGAGGACACTAAATAGAAATTCGAGGTACCACATGCTATCGCATGATACCGCATGATACCACGTGACATACTCACTCTACCGGTTTATATCTTATCCCAACTCCGATAGCGGCACTGTGCTGCGCATTCGTGCCGCACAGCCCTGTGATGTGGGCACGAATCGCATCCCGACCCGTCATCTCGATCCTCACCTTGGCTTGCTCCCTTACCGTTGCCCCCTCCCCCTCCCCGCCTCCCTCTCCCCACCCGCAGAGGGTCTCTATTGCGCCTTCATGTCGCAGCCGTATGCGGTGGGAACGCGCGGCATCCTCGGCAGCAGCAGCTGCGAGCGGTGCAACTGCAAGGCGGTGCCGGTGGTGATCCCGGGGGGGAAGGAGATTGTGCGGATGGAGGCGCAGTGCGTGTGCCCCGAGGTGCAGTGTCGGACCAACTACCGCGGCGCCAGCATTCGCCGATTCGCGTGCCCGCCACTACAGCAAACGTACGAATTTGT